TCCTCCACAACTAGACTGAAGAACAAAACAACAGCAACTTGTTTGTTCCCCTTCCCCCAATTCCCCAGCACTGTTCCCATCCCCCCAATTCCCCAATAAAAATCTTAAAAAAAAAAAAAACAGCCCTGGAAAAACGAACTGTAAGGGCTCTGGTTTAGCAAGAAAACGTGACTTTCTTCACTCTGCCAGAAGAGAAGTAGGGGAAGGAAAGAAGGGGATAAGAAAGAAGTAGAGCCCATGGCAAAATAGAAGAATGCCCACCCCCTTCTAATTCAGACATTATTAGGTAATCAAAAGGAAACGAGGGGAAAAAATGCTGCTGTAAATTACCGTGACACCAACAAATCCTTTGTAGCTTTGAATATACTGAGTAATTTCCTCTGCGGATTTCTTACTTTGAAGAAATTCACATCTATAATTAATTAATAAACATAATTAAAATTTACCCCAATACTGTGATAGAGATGTCCTATATCTCTGTTATTGCAGTGATGGTTACACAAAGAACATTTGTTAAAACTTACTGAATTGTATACTTAAAATTAGTGAATTTTATTAAACTTCAAATAAAACTGTCAAAAGATATCTCAAAACTTACACAATGGAAATACTACTCTGCCATAAGAAAAGATGAAATAGTGCCATTTGTGACAAAATGGATGGATCTTGGGGCAGCCGGTTAGCTCAGGTGGTTAGAGCTCAGGCTCATAACACCAAGGCTGCCAGTTCGATTCCCACATGTACCACGGAGCTGCACCCTCCTCAACTAGATTGAAGACAACTACTTAAAGCTGATGGGTTCTGTTCCCCTCCCCCAATTCCCCAATAAAATCTTGAATATATATATATATATATATGTAAATAATTAAAATATACTTTGTTTTCTAAGCAAGGAACTAAAGACCATTGCCAATAATCAAAACTCTGAGTTATTAAAATAAAATATTTTCATTTGGTATATAATCAGCAGTACATGAAACCATTTGTAATAACATTTTAAACACTGTTTTACTTTCCAGTTTCCTTTATATTCAATTTTACATCATCCCTATGCAAATTATTCTTATGTATTAATTAAGGCAGATCCTGAAACTTCTACTTAGCAAAACATGTCTTCGTATTTGGGATAATAAAACATTTAAGAAATTTTTTTAAAATTATATAATTCAAAATTTTCAAGATGTAATCAGGACTTTCTTACTTGAATACGTACTTGAATGTCCCAGGAAAAAATCAAAACTGAAGGTGCTATTCCAGGAAAGTGACTTTTTTTAGTTTGTTTTGTCTTAAAAAAAGGGTATTTCTCTACTTACTTGGGGAACCATTTGGCATGTTCCTTCCAAGGATCATCTCCTTCTTCCCAATTTCCTAAACAGCCATCACAGGAAAAACACTGCACAGTGTCCCGTTTACCTACATATGAAGGAAAACATTTAGATGGACCCACAATGGCACCTGCAGATAGTCCAGAAGGCATGTGTCTGGAAGCTGACTGTGGTGCGCATGAGTAAGACGTGCTCCAGCCTGTCTGTCCACTCACACTCTCATCTGGCTGAATCTTTATTTACAGCCCTGCTGCCCTAAATGACCATTTTCTAAGCCCTGGACCTCACCCCTCAGCCATGTCAATACTTCACATACAGACCGCTAAACTGTTTGACTCGATATGCCTGCAAGGTGTTCCCAGAGTAGGTGTTTTGCTATTTGAGCTCTCAGAGCAGAAGTAGTGAGGAAGCAGAGAAACCCTGGCACTCATGAAGTAAAGCACAGTTAGAAAACCTGTCATAGCTTTTCCATGAAATTTCTGTGGAAACTAAGGCACATTTCTTTTTTTTTTTTAAGATTTTTTTATTGGGGAACTGGGGGAAGGGGAACAGACAAGTTGCTGTCCTTTTGTTCTTCAGTTGTGGAGGACGTTGCTTCACTGGTCCAAGTTGGCACCATCATTGCGCTCGTCCCTGGTGAGGCAGATCAGTCACCGGCTTCTGGATGGCTGCTCATGGCAGCTACTGGCCGCTCACGCTGGCTGCTGGCTACACACGGTAGCCCATGGCAACCCACTGCCACAGGGGCTGCAGCCTACCCCGTCACCGGCGACTCATGGCAGCCCAGCTCCAGGTTGAGCTGTTGTTCAGCATCTTAGCTGTAGAGGGCAGTGTCACTGGCCCTCATATGTGGGATCCAAACCGGGGCCCTCTGGTGTCCCAAGCCAGCTCTTAACCAACGCGCCACTCGGCTGGCCCTAAGGCACGTTTCTTAAACTCTTTGAGCTTCAATGAATTCAACTGTGAACTTGGGGGAAATGGCGAGTTTGTTGGATCAGAATTAGTGCTTAATCCATATCTAGCTGGTACTTAGCAAATGATAGCTGTTATTGCTATTACAATTCTCATTCATGTCTGTCGTACATGCATGGTATGGCTCGGACAATTCAAACAAGTGCAATTTTCTGAAATACAGTTTGCCTTATACATTAGAGTTTGCCATATGATTAAAACCAGCCAACCAAAAAACTCTCCAATATTGAAGCAATTAAAAGAATCAAAGAGGGCCGGCCGAGTGGCGCGTTGGTTAAGAGCGCGAGCTCAGAGCAACAGAGTTGCCGGTTTGATTCCCACATGGGCCAGTGAGCTACGCCTGAGCTGAGCTGCTGCTGAGCTGCCAACAGGTGGTAGGATGGCTTAGCTGGTGAGTGCACATGCTCCTAGCAACAAAGTTGCCGGTTAGACTCCCTCATAGGATGCTGGCTACGCCTACCCTCAACTAAGATTGAACTCGGCACCTTGAGCTAAGCTGCCGCGAGCTGCCGATGGGCAGCCGGATGGTGACTGGACTTGGAGGTGAGCTACATGAGCCCTCCACAACTAAGACTGAAGAACAACAACTTGGCTATTCCCCTCCCCCAATTCCCCAACACAGTTCCTCTTCCTCATTTCCCCAATAAAATCTTAAAAAACAAACAAAAAAAAAAACTCCAGAGAAATACTTCAGAAAATGATTTCAAATTACCTGTAAAGGCAAAGCCAGCTGCTGTGAGCTCCTTTGGGGATATCCCGTGGACATAAAATGGCCAGTCCTTGAAGGATTCGAGTCTGGCCTTCTCATCTTGGTACCTTGTTTTGTCTCCTCTTAGCTTCTCTGGATTCTTAACTCTTACATCATATTTGGCAATGTTACCAACATCTTTGCCCAAAAGGAACTCACAATCTGGATGAAACTTCTTGTGGTCTTCTATGGGGAGTCTCCGGATGCTGGTACCAAATAGGATCAAGCTACAGCAAAAGCACTGAATCCCAGATTTTATGCCAGTGAAATAAAACCCAGCTGCTGCCATTTCCTGTGGTGTCCATGAGCTGTAGGACTTATAGGTCACAAAACTCTTTAACCTTTTTGCTTCACTGCGCATTTCTGAGTTAAAGCCTTTCTGCATTTTTTCTCGATCTTCATGCTCCTGTTTTTCTATTTCCTTTGCATATTGAAACGCATCTATGCCTAGAAGAGCAGACAGCTCTGGGAGGAGAGCATAATCAAACTGGGAAATCCTCTCTTCAGCTGCCTTCTCCTGAGTGGCCATTTTCTGAAAAGGGAAAGAGAAGGTTAATGAACGTTTCCACTTGTTTTACTACCCCTGGGATAGTTTTCAATCCTTTTATTCTTCCTGTTTCTTTTCTCCTGAACCATACTGATTTCCTGGTCATCATTCAGCCCAATTCGGAGCAAATATGCTAGTAGGTCTGTGATAGCCTCTCCCACTGCAACCTGCCATTCCAACAGTAAGGTCACATGGAGTTCAAGCAGTTGGAGGCCCTCTTATCACAGCATCAGTCATCACTTAAGTCAAAGGTATAAAATAGGGGATATCTTGGTATCATCATATAACAAATCCAAAGATGCTTGCCTCCATCTTCAACATTTCAGGAACCTCAGGAGTATGCTGTTTAATACTCTCAGGTGGAATTGGGTGGTTCTACTTTACAAGGTGTGTTTTATGTGCCCCCGCCTTTATCCAGCTCAGCTGATATGCAATTTGCCCATCTGCCCACATTCCTGCAAAAGTAGCAGCTAATAGGAGATCTTGATTAAGACCAAGCATGCCCTTCATTTGGCAGTACCTAATGAAAGGAAAAGAGCTCCTGTGTCAATAATGTGTTAAATCCATCTCAGCCATGTTCCCTCAAGAAGCCCTATGAGGCCACAGGTTACTTAGCTTTTTGACTGAACAGCTCCTTTATTGTTGCTCTCTTGATGCCCTCTCCCTGTAGAGTCTCTTTACTGGTTATCTGTCAGATGAGGGTTTCATTCTGACCAAAAGAAATACCTGCCCACCTCTCCTTTGGCCTCATGTACCTTCCCTTCACAGGAGGAACCAGCCAAACCTTGGTGGTCTTGGCAGCCTAGGACTCTTTCTTAGTTGCTTTTATTTTTGCCAAAGCAGCCAACACCAGCCAAGGTACAGTATTTTTGACTGACTTCCCCTCTACCTGAATTTCTGTCTTAATCCACTTAGCTATTTCCTCTGGCTCTGGACTGACCACCTTTAAATTCTATTGCTGTGCTTTCCCTTCCTATCAACAGTTATAGTACTTGAGTGACTTCAAACCAAGGATTCCTCAGCTGCCAGCCTCCATCAGTGGCTCTAAATCTTTCTCCCAACAAAGCCTTAGCCATGATTTAAATTATAAAGCCAAAAACTGTTTCAATTATTCCATTCACAGTGCTATCTTCAGCAATTATCCAGGGTTGGATAATGGAAAGAAACTAGAGGACTCTATGTAGTATACTTACATAAACTTTAATAAAGGTAAAGGATAAAATACAAAAATAAAAAGAAGAAACAGGCTAACATCAGAGAGGTCTCAGTTTCCAGGCCCAGTTCCTGGGGGCCGTTCTCAGTTGCACAGGCTGTGCTGCATTTTAGGTAATGAACCACCTAGATGTGTGCTAGATACCTTGGTCTCGGGGAAACCACAACCTCTTCTGAGAAGGGGTCTTTTGTATCCCTCTGATCACATGGCCAAAACTAGGATGCATGACTAGTCTCAAAAACAGAAACAAGCTGGTATAGGCTGCTCTCTGGTCTGTCTCAGACCCTAGCACAGGACGACATTAGTCACTAGTTAGCAGAGTCCATTCCAGTTTGGCCAAGAGACAGCACCATGGCTCCAGGCCTCCTGGAGATAAATAAGCACAGGGTTGCAACAGACCAGCTGGGATCAATTGTGCTGGTTCAGTGGTCTGTTTTGCTAATCCCAAGGCCACTTCTAGGGAGGAGAGTGGATCTCTGAGGCCCTCTCCAGATTTCATGGCCTATGACTACAAGTGCTAAGAGTGCCAGTGTGGCAACTATGTCGCGGAGCCAGGATTAAAAACAAGTCTGTGTGACTCCGGTGCCTGTCCTCTTGCCTTCAAAGAGAGAAACAAGAATAAGAGAAACAAAGGGGCCTTAAGTTTAGGTGTGGAAGAAAAGCACTTTGGCCAGAGAAGGTAATTGACTTACCTAGAGGTTTATCCAGAGTCCCAGTCAAATGGAAGGAGAATGTGTAGTCTGAGTATAAATGCTGTGTTTGTCCTTTAATAGAAAGCAATGAGAAAATATTTGAGGAACTAAAACTCAAAACAAGTTGCAGTTCACTGAGAAATTACCAGTAAATCGAATCAAAAGGGCTTAGTCAGGACCCAAAAGGAACAACAAAATTGACCAAGTTTCACAACATGAAGCATTTTATTCTGAACAGTTAAGGTCGGTTAATTGTTACAGAGCTAGTATAATTCTTATTCCCTTGATGGTGACAGTTTTTATCTTTCTGGTATCTTCTAGGATTTTTCTTTTTTATCCTTGGGGTTATAAAATTTCAAAATATTTTGTCTAGATTTGGGTCTTTCTACATTCATTGTACTGGGTAGGTACTCAGTGGGTCTTTTCAACATGAACACGTAGGTGTCCCATCAACCCTGAAAATTATCTTCTATAATTTCTTTGATAATTTCCTACTGTCTGTTATTCTGCTTCATTCACTCTTTCTGGTAATCTCATCATTTAGATGGGGATTTAATCGATTACCTAAATTCTTTTTTTTTTTTAAGATTTTTATTGGGGAATTGGGGGGATGGGAACAGCGCTGGGGAACTGGTGGAAGGGGAACAGACGAGCTGCTGTCATTTTGTTCTTCAGTCTAGTTGTGGAGGACGTTGCTTCACTGGCCCAAGTTGGCACCATCATTGCGCTCTTCCCGGGCGAGGCAGATCAGTCGCCGGCTTCTGGACGGCCGCTCACTGCGGCTGCTGGCCGCTCACGCTGGCCGCTGGCCACACACGGTAGCCCATGGCAACCCACTGCCACAGGGACTGCAGCCCACGCCGTCGCCGGCGACTCACGGCAGCCCAGCTCCAGGTTGAGCTGTTGTTCAGCATCTTAGCTGTAGAGGGCAGTGTCACTGGCCCTCATATGTGGGATCCGAACCGGGGCCCTCTGGCGTCCCAAGCCAGTTCTTAACCATCGCGCCACTCAGCCGGCCCTCCTATTAGTAATTCTTAATTTCAGCAATTATACTTTTAATTTCCCACAGCTTTCTTGTTCTGTTCCTTATTTTCATGACATCTAATTTTTTAACCAATGCAATCTTTCTGGATCTCTTTTATGATACTGTCAAATGACAAAACTAAAATAATTTAATAACACATTTGATGTTCCTGATTCAAGGGAAAATAACCCATGGATTGGGGGAGAGCAGTGCCTCAGTGATGTGGGGCAAGAGTGAGTTTTATAAAGAGGCAACGAGGAAACAGGGCATGACTGGCTAGGGATGGCGGGGGTTTCTTCATAAGGCCATGGTCCTGTTATCTAGGGGAAGGTAAACAAGCTAAAGCTGAGTTGGAAGAGTGTGACTGACGTATGTTAGGTTTCCATGACAGCTGTTTCCATAAGCGCAAGGCTGACTTAGGTTTAGATTTGTGACTTGGGCTGGGCTACTGGAATGGCCTCCATTTTGTGGGTCCTGATAAACAAATTAACTTTATCAATACTAATGTTTAGTTCCTCTGTCTCCTGAATTATGTTTGTTTCCTCCAAGGCTATTGTCATTTGCCTTGGTACTTATTTTTCACATTGCCAGCTTTCCTCAAATGAATACTGATCCTTGGTTTTCAATTTGTTTAAGAATTAGGCAATTTAAAAGCTGATTGGTCAAAACTATAGTTAAAATCTAATTAAAAGCCACATGAGTGTGACTTGAACTTAAAACCTTTACTTTATGGAGACCAGATTGAGGAGCCAAGATTTACCCCGAAGAAGCCCTGAATGTCAGAGGAACACCTCAGAAAATGATTGCAAATTACCTGAAAAGACAGAGCTAGCAGCTGAAAGCTCACTTGGAATGTTCTTTGAGCATAAAATGACCAGTTCTTGAAGGATTCTTTGTTTTGGGGTGCCAGTGCCCACACTAGCTCCTCTAAGTCAGCTGAAACAGTTTATTCAATTTCTTTTAAGAGAAGAATCATCTAATTTTTTGCCTTTGGGTTAACACCTGTCTCACATATTCTGATTGTGGGAGGATGGGGGGAGGTAGAAGAGGTTAAAAGGGGTCAAATACATGGTGATGGAAGGAGACTTGATTTTGAATTGTGAACACACAAATATACAGATGATGTATTATAGAATTGTACACTTGAAACTTATATAATGTTATTAGCCAGTGTCATTATAAATAAATATAATCTATTTAGCCAGTTAAAAATAAATTTAATAAAAATGTTTAAATCTTTTTTTAAACTAGGTAACAAATGCATGTATATAAAATTCAAAAGGTACACAAGGGTGTACAGTGAGAACTACATCTCTCTACTTCCCCTGAGCCTAGCATCTAGAGCAGTTTCACAGGGGTCATGTAAGACCATCAGAAAACAAAAAGATATTTACATTACAATTCACAACAGTAGCAAAATTACAGTTATAGAGTAGCAACGAAAATAATTTTATGGTTGGGGGTCACCACAACATGAGCTGTATTAAGGGGTCGCGGCATTAGGAAGGCTGAGAATCGCTGATCTAGAGGCTCTTCCAGATGCCACCACTTTGCAGTAACCTGGCCCCTTTTCACTTACTTGCATTATCTGTCTGGCCCCTTGAGCCATTTGAGTTTGCATCCAAGCCCATTTTACAGCTCCTCTTCTGCCTTCCCATAGCACTTGGCATAGTATTCACATTTTCACACTGAGTTCTTTATAGGTCTGCCTTCTAGGCTGGGAGGTTCACAGATCCATGAGGTTAAGTTTGTGTCCTCTTTTTTGGTGTTTATATCCTACTGCCTAGGATCCTGTTACACAGATAGCAGAAGTACAACGTTTGTTGAGTTAATAAATGAACAAATTGTGTATTACTCCCAGAGTCCTGGCCTGAGGTGTGACTCAAATAGAAATTTAGTCAAGTGAAATCAAGAATTTAAATCCCATAAGAACCCCATCAGAGCTCCCAGTCCACCTTATAATAGGTCTCCCCAGAACAGAATTGGAGAACATTGAAAGAAAATAATGAATCTTCTATTCTTAAAGAACAAGACCGACCCAACAGGGGGATTTGGAAGCTCCTAAGGCTGCTTCCAAAAGCGCGACAATCTCCTATGCCCTTGTCTTCCTTACTATAGGTCCCATGGACTCAAACTTCTTGCCCTTTCTCCTAAACTCCGCCACCCACTAAAGGCCTTGCAATTCCACCACCCCACTTCCTGAGGACAGGTTGTATGTACCCTTTCTTGCTCACCACTCATGAAATCATTTCATGTTATGAATTTGCCAGTCATTAGAGAAATACAGACAACTGAACAAAAAGGATCATGAACATGAGGAAGTTAAAAAGTGTTGAGAAATCTTACAAAATGTTTATGGTTCCTCTGAGCAGAAGTCCTGCTGTCCCCTGACTGTTTGGACACAATGTTAGTGTTTTGATTATGACATACGTTCAGGCATACAGTGGGTCACAGTTGGTCCTTAAATCCAGGACTTACATGCTTTTAATCTAAATACTTTTCTTCAGCCTTAGAGAGGAGAGACTGTTCCAAGACATGATAGCTGCCTGACCCATGAGCTGGCCCTGGGCCAGAAGGGGGGGTTGCTTCCCACTAACCACACTTGAAGACTGTCTGATTGTAATTGATGCTCATTTTTTTTGTTTGTTTGTAAGATTTTTATTTCTTTTTGTTTTTAAGATTTTTATTGGGGAATTGAGGGAGGGGAAGAGACAAGTTGCTGTCGTTCTGTTCTTCAGTCTAGTTGTGAAGGACGTTGCTTCACTGGCCTATGTTGGTATTATCATTGCGCTCTTCCCGGCTGAGGGAGATCGGTCACCGGCCTCTGGACGGCCGCTCACGGCGGCTCTTGGCAGCTCACACCAGCTGTCAGTCACTCACGCTGGCTGCCAGCCACACACGGTAGCTTATGACAGCCCACTGCAGCAGGGGCTGTAGCCTACGTCGTTGCTGGAGACTCACAGCAGCCCAGCTCAGGTCAAGCTGTTGTTCAGTATCTTAGCTGTAGAGAGCAATGTCACTGGCTCTCATGTGGGATCTGAACCAGGGCCCTGCTGCTCAGAGCTGGCGTCCCAAGCCAGCTCTTAACCAACGCACCACTCGGCCGGCCCCTTATTTCTTTTTTTAAATGGACATTAATATTCATTACATATTTACATCTTAAAACAGTACCCAATTTTCTTATAACTATTAATGAAATATTTATACAGCCATAAAATATGAAATATTAAACTAAAATATTTATTTTCTAACATGAAAGTGAAGAACAAATATATAACATGAAAACATATAAAAACAAGATAAAACTACCCATGTATTTGAAAGTTAAATTTAGTTCCTACATGTCACAAACGGGAGAATTTGACACAAAATAAATGCAACGATACCAAAAAAAAAAAAAACTACCCAATTTAGTGAAAACAAGGCATTTGATGGCACACTAGCAGCAGAAGCAGCTTATTAACTGCTTATTGTTATAAAGTCATATCTATATAGCAATAAACACTAAAGAGAATAGATTTAACTAAAGTTAATAAGAAACAAGTATAATTATAAATAACACCAGATTTTAAACAGGAATCTGTTAATGTTTTACTACATAAGGATTTCAAAGTAAACAAAATACAGTTATCTCAAACTTGGAGGACACCAAGTTCATAGATTTCCTCTTAGTTGAAGCCTATCCAACCTCAGTAACATTTCTGGATGAAGCATACAGTTACTGCTATACATTTTAAAAGGATTGGTCCAGTTGTGTTTTCTGTGTTAATTCCGGCTCTTCATTTACAATATTGGCAGCAGCAGCGTTATATGGGTTGTCTAGAGTGTCTTTGTTAATCCATCTGACTCCTCCTTTTTTTGATCTTCAGCCTATTAACATCTTCAGCTGTCTGTGCCTTGGGTGAGTTCATTAGCAAGTCATGTCCTAGGGACTGTTACTCAGTAGCTTTGCCTGGCTTCTTTCCAAGGCCACTTGCTTATATCTCTCAATTCTTTGTTGTTGCTTTTCGGTTAGGCTTCTACTTGTCTAAGAAGCAAACATCTCACTTTCGGATGAATTTGTCAGAAAGGGACCTGATTCAGTAGCAGTTACCTCATGGTCATTATTTTCCCCTACTTCATCATTATTACTAATAGAATCTTCACATAAATTAGGGAGATTAAGTTAAATTTGTTTTCAACAGGTCTGAACTTCCTTTTTATTTCCCGGGTACTCAACTCTGTCAATAAAATCCTCAAATTGCAGTTTAGAGAATAGCCTATGTACACAGTGCTCTATGTCTGGTTAGCGTCTTCAAGTCTTCAGCCTCAGGACCTTTACTTTTTTTAAAAAAAGATTTTATTGGGGAATTGGGGGAGGGAAAGTGTTGGAAAATTGGGGAAGGGGACCAGCCAAGTTGTTGTTCTTCAATTTTTGTTGTGGAGGGCGCCAGTCGCCATCTGACTGCCCATCAGCAGCTCGTGGCCTCTAAGCTCAAGGTGCTGTGTTCAATCTTAGTTGCGGGTGGGCATTGCCACCATCCCATGCGGGAGTCTAACCAGCAGCCTTGCTGTTAAGAGCGCATGCTCTATCCACTGAGTCATCCAGGTGGCAGCTCAGCTCAAGGTGCCGAGTTCAGTCTTAGTTGCGGGTGGGCATAGCCCACCATCGAACAGGCAATCTTGTTGTTACACCAGCTGAGCCATCCTGCCACTTGTTGGCAGCTCAGCAACAGCTCAGCTCAGGTGTAGTATCGCTGGCCAATGTGGGAATTGAACCGGCGGCCCTGTTGCTCAGAGCTCACGCACTTAAGCCAACTCTTAACCAACTGAACCACTCGGCCAGCCCATGACCTTTACTTTTGAATTTCGCCTTATCAAACATATGCCTTAATGCGGGAAGCCTTCTCTCTGAAATAAATCTCTGAGTATCCAGCTTGG